TCGATATAAACCGAATAGGAAATACCTTGAATGTAAGAAATACCGGCAAGAAGAAAAGTAAAAATTACTTGTGCTTAATTAATAGAATGAAGGATACAGTCTTTGAGTCATCACTGCGGTTTCGTGCATAAACGAAGACAATCAGGCTCATACATATACAGATACAGACATACTCACGGGCATCTAAGTTTACATGCGACCTTAACTAACCAAATCACTTTATAATTGATCAAAAAGGCTAGATGTAGAGTATATATACCACTTTTTAGGGATTTGCCTGTGAGTTTTCTTGACTTGTTAGCTTGAATTTGGTTGTGACGATGACTCCTTCCCTGCTCTGATGATGTTCGTCATTTGACGGACGAGAGCTTAGCACCTTTTCACCGGAATCGAAGGAGATTACCTCGGAAACAGCGTCAGCATGAATCTTCCAGTAAAACCATTCGACAGCTTGTCAAGAGGAATCCGCCGTCGTCTTCTGGTGGAACCGACATTCGAATCTCTTCACCCAACACTTCTACTCGAAATGGAAGTAAGCTCAACAATAGTTGAAATTCAATGGTATCGTGAAAACTCATGACATTATGAGAAAAATTCCCATATTATACCTTCAATCACCTTAAGAAACTTAATGTTGCAAGTTATTATTCAAAAAGTAATGATAATTTCTAAAACTTCTCATAGTGAATTTTAGTTTCTAGTAGCACTGACAACATTTATCTTGTAAACCGCCACACATTACAAGGTCGCCTATTTGCTAAAATTGCAAAGTAGTATGATAATCTAAATATATCTTATCTTAATCTAATTACCTCTGCTACCTACCAACCTCTGATAGGAGATATGTTCTCTACTTACTTGCCCGGGTTTTGTTGACCGATGCGTATCAAGCAGACACGATGTTTTCTATTTGGTTGTAATGGTCTTTTCTTTGAATTAGAAGGTGCCGAGGTCTGAATGATCCGATTCTTCACCGATTCCATCCTTTCCTCCTCTGCTTTTTCTTGATTCTCCATATTTTCAATTTCATTTGCTTCGGAACCACCCTGAATGACCCTCGCAGACATTTCCGTTTCGGAAGAAGCAGCGGCCTTTCGTAGCAGCCTCTCTTCCCGTCTGACCCCTCGTATGATTGCTGAAGTCGTTAAATGGTTAAGAAAAAAACTCTTTCTCGAGGCGCTTGAGGTCAACTTGAGGGATTCCGAAGTTCGGCTAAGCGGCCAGACATCCACGCCAACCAGCTTTATTCGTTCGCTTCGGTTCCGAAGTCCTTTTGGCCCACTTGCGTTAGTTGACTCCCGTCGTGCAGTTCCTAATTGCCTTTTTTCTTTATGATCCCAACTTCGAAGGTTTAAAGCATTCAGATTCCCTTTTTCACCTTCTATACTATCATTGCTAATTTCTTTTCCGTCTGGTACATATTTCCTTTTGCTTGACTTTCCTTTAGCATACTCTCCCAAAAAAGGCCTGACTCGTCTCTCGTTGCGTTGAGGTTGGCTGCTACCTGGTTTTCTGTCGTCAGGCGCCATTATTGACCCAACGGGTTCTCGGATTTGGCTGCGCTCCAAAGGGTTTAAGCTGACCGAATCCAGCTCATAAGATGAGGACGCAAGGATTTCGGTGGGTGGACTGAGCCGAAAAGTCAGCATCAGTGTATATCCAGGTAGAGTGGACAGGGCTTGATAGAAGCGGCACAAAAGATTCTTTGATAATTGAACCAAGGGAGCAGGATTCGAAAGATTACCTGAAGGATGATAAAATGAAGTAGCTTAGTTGAAAGATTATACCGAAACAAAGTATGTAGTGGTATAAATAAATTACGATGGTTAATTGTTCGCAAAACTTATCAACTATCTTTTAAGGCACACCTTGAGGTTATCTCACTTGACACAATTAAGTTGACATGGATTATTGTTGAGCTGACTTTCATTTCATGCTAAAATGTGTGATGAAAACTTTCAATATTCGATCTCCCCAGAACACGATACCGCATGACTCTTGGTCGGTTGTAGTCTAATTATAACGGGGCATACAGGCTGTCATATACATGAGATGATCTTCCGTCTGCTCTATTTACTCGGGTCTATTATTGCTGATTCCATATTTGTGCACATTCTCCCACACACATACGCATACACACACACATACACACACGTAATACATAAAAAAATATTTACTTGACGTGTTTATAACGTAGAGAGCTAATACGGTTTGTTTCCTTAATTCTATTTTGACTTGGAATAGTTTTAAGAGTGATGCCTAGTTATGATACTGCTTTTTAAGTGCATTTAAAGACAAAACAATGTCATATTTTTAACGAATCTCACAAGAATCGTCTTGAAAATCGCTTCAACTTTAAATTCCCAGCAAAATCAAAGTACAATGAATCAAGGCGAATCCGCCCTTAACCAATTCAACAATTATATATCAAGAGATTAATCAAAAAATAGTTGCTAATTACAAAAGGTCTGGTAAAGGTACATAATAATATGGATTTGTGAAGATATTCCGTTTACATATAGGCATTATAATGAAAGAAATTGGGTGATCAGGTATTAAATGCGCTATCTTTGGGCACATTTTTTAAAAAGAAACTAAGCCTCCAAGTTTAGAGTGATACAAATTAAGTCTTGAAGCATTCTGGATAGAGTATGTTGTTCTCCACACTACTACGTAAAGGGAGATGGATTTTGAAATGATAGTGTTGAAATATGGCTTTAAATCGATAGCATTAAGTTAGATCCATTTAGACTAGCCAAGAGATTTTAGCGAAACCAAACAGAGAACTCGGATTGTGAACCATCTTTAAGCAAGAGGGGCACAACCTAGTAAAAAAAGACAAATAAATTATGCAGACACTAGGACTTCAATCCGCTTTAATGATTGTTCACAGTACAGACCTAGTCAGTCGATAAGAGTACCTGATGGACACTTTGTAAGGCCAAATCTGAATGCATTAAAGATAACGTGTTAAATCTTAAGCATGTACACTTCAAGTATACATATGTTGGTATACATTTTTTGGGAACAACTTTATATATCAGTTTATCCTGCATAACATTTTAGCGATAAAGACGTATTTATCCTTCCTACAAATGTGGGATAAGAGAAGATAGTCCTACTCCTGAAGCCATATGTGTTATCTGTATCACTAACTATATGGCGGCCAGCTGAGCGAAAGATTGAGAGGCTTAGACTGAGTTTAAACTCGGAGATAGAAGCTATTCACGATATCCTGTAGGGAAAAAATTTGATCTTCTGCCAAATCATGAATCCTATAAAACCCGATTTGCTTGATCAGCCAACGTTGCCTAGCCCACTTGATTTACAGGAACTAAACAAAGTAGCTATTGAGCCAGAATCTGTACAATGTGTAGGTGGCGGTCAAAAAGACTTGAACTAGAAAGGCAAGGGCGCAAGAGATTTAATCACAGCAATCAATCCTACCCCCTAGTTAGCATTTAGAATCATGTGTATAATTAGAGCATAAGAAAACTGAGAACTACAAATATTACATAAAAACGGAACTATATGACTAGTTAAACTTTACTCTTTAATCAAAGTTATGAATAACAGGATGGTGTGGCCTTTTGTATGGTCGCGGCCTCCTTTGTTTTACCTTGTTTTCGCAACTTGGTCATACTGACAGGAAAACCTAGATGAAATCACATTGTCTAGAGTGCATAGTATGCATGATAATTTCAAGAGTAGGACCGTGAACTTGGTACATTTCCAGAAGTTT